GCGCTCGTCGGGGGGGGGGGGGGGGGCATTGTGGGCTGTCCGGCGGGATTTTGTTTAGGCGTCAGACAGAGCAAAACAATACTAGCCATGTTTGGGGCGGCATCACAGCACCACCCCCATCTGGGTGCGCAAGAGCAACGGCGGATTCAAGCGGAAGCCACGAAGCTGATGAAATTCACCTGATAAGTAATCCTGATCGATGCCGGCCCGACATTCTGCCGCCGAGGGTCTGGTCGGCACCAGGGCTACCTCCGTTTTTCCTCCATCACGGAAGTGGCCCGTGTTTGACTTGTCTCGAGTTCGACAAACAGGCCGCCATCACCAGCGATTGGTCGGCATCTGGCAGCGTTAGACCGAAGCCTGGCCTGCCCGGCCTCCGACGCGCCGGGCCTCCGGCGTGCCCCCGCCTCGTGCCGGCCCGCCCGTGCCGTCTGAGCCCCGATCCAGCCGTCCCGTCCCGTCCCGTCCCGTCCCGTCCCGTCCCGTCCCGTCCCGTCCCGTCCCGTCCCGTCCCGTCCCGTCCCGTCCCGTCCCGTCCCGTCCCGTCCCGTCCCGTCCCGTCGCTCTGTTGTCGGGGTGGCGGCCGGCGCGCTGTACTGCGATGTCAAGTCTTACCGGGAAGCGTGGCCCGCCAGCTGCGGCAGAGCGGACACTCGCGGGCTGCCCTCGCCATCTGGCCGGCTGTATGAACCGCCAGCTACGTGACACGTGAGGCAGCGGAGGTGTGCGGTGTTACCTGATGGTGCGGCCGTCCGCCGTGTTATCCGATGTCGCCGCCGTTGTGCGGACTCTACCTCGGTGTTACCGCTGTGCGAACAAAACCTCGGTGTTACCGCTGAGCAAGCTCGGTCTCGGTGTTACCGCTGTGCGAACTCGGCCCGTTGTTACCGCTGCCCGAACTTACCGCTGCACGAACTCGGCCACGGTGTTATCACCCGCTGTGCTGCTGTGCTGTCCAGCGTGTCATGTCGTGTCCCGTGTGACAGTGCAGCGCTGGCAGCCGTGCGGCACCTGCCCGCGATGCTGTTTGCTGTGCCACTGCCGTGGCGGCAGTCCGCTGCGCCACCATCCGATACGCCGCTGTGCTGATGTTCTGCTATCAAACTGGTCCGCGGAGATGCGTTGCTGTCTGCTGTGTCGATGTGTCACGGCCGAAGCGCCGCTGTCAGCCGCGCGGGTGTGCTGCTGTCAAGCTGTGCTGCTGTCAGGCTGTGCCAGTGTGTCGGTGTCGAGTTTGCCGATGAGCTGCTGTCAGCGGCGGCGGTGTTTCTCCGCTCAATGTGCCGGGTTGCCGCCGCGCTCACGGTCTCACCACCGACGGCGCAGCTCGTCAGAATGGTAACGAGGCTCGGCTGGCCGCCAGCAGCGGCTCGTCAGGGGTGAGGGTCTGCGGACTGACCAGAGGCGTGCGCCCTTAGCGTGGCGGAGCGGCGAAGACGGGCGACGTGGAGCCGCGATATAGCGCCCCATTGTTTCCGGGCTGGCAGTTGCCGGTGATCTGTCGGAGCCCGTTTGGGCGTGGTGGTGGCGATAACGGACAACGACGTGTTGCGGGTCTGTTCGGAGATTTGGGGACCAAAACGACGTCGTCGAGTCATTTGTGGTGAAATACGTCATTGTGGACAAAGGTCACCTTCAAATGAGCTCCTCGTCCTTCATGTTAAGCTTTGCTTCACCGACAAATCCGAACGCGTCCCCATGGCGTTTGGCATAGATCCCTTTTCGTCCAGCACTCCTGCGTGGCGTGTCTCAGGTTCCACGACGAGAGGACTCGCCACGACGGGCTGCGGCTGCGTTAGGCATGTGTGATGTCGGGCCGCGGAGGCCAGACCATGTGTTTGGGGGCGGGGGAGGTTATGACGACACGAACACCGCAGCGATCTGCTCGTTCGGCGTTGTGGGGACTCCGTCACCTTTTGACGCAGCACGGTCTGCGCGCACAAACACTGCGTCGGAAGGACCGTCGATCGCCAGGCGGCGACCGCTGGCGGGTGATCGCCCCGCGCGGCGTCGCACTGACGCCCGCCCGCCGGCCGCGCCCCCAGAGACGACGCGCGGCGAGCTGGAGGCGGAGATGCTGGCCGACCTGCGGCAGCGGCCGCCGGACCGGCTCGAGGAGCGCGTCCAGCAGCACGCCACGCCGGTCAGTGGTCCCACCCCCCACTCCCACCCACCTCTCCCTCCGACGCTGCGGAGGGGCGGCGTCTGGTGTCGCCGGGGTGTGACTGGGAGCGGACTGTCTGCGAGAGCTGAAGCAGCTCACCGGTCTACGGCCCCTCCCCCTCATCCCCGCCGAGCTGGGCGGGCCACCTCTCCGCCTTACCAAAAACCTAATAAACCTTACGGGGACTGGGGGCTAATTGAACCAAGACGGTGAAGGATTGGAGTTATATTGACTTGTACTTTTTTCTCACTTTGCATTCTCTTTTCAGCATTGGTTGTTGTTTTCAATTGTTCTCATTTTATTTGCGTTATTCGCCTAGGTTTTGAACGCGTATATTCCCGCCGTGTTTGCCATGGCCGCCGGCGGCGGCTGTGGGCCGCGCGGCTAACGGCGCCCTGCTGCCGGCAGCTGCACGTGGCAGCGGCCAACGGCTACCTGTCGGTGGTGGAGTTCCTGCTGGAGAGCCAGGTGTCGGTGGGGCCGCGCGACAGGGACGACTGGCAGCCGATTCATGCCGCCGCCTGCTGGGGCACGTGAGTCGGCGCACCGGGGGGGGGGGGGGGGGGGGGGCGCCGCAGCCTCAGCCGGGGAGGAATCGGACAGCCCGGCTCCGGGACACGGGATCAACTGGATAGTGAAGACGAGAGGAGAACGGGACACGCGAGAAATCGGGCAGTGGGAACTGAATGATGGGAAACGGGAAAGACCAAATGGATGTGGGGGGGGGGGGGGGCGGGATGTACCAGTCATAGGACCGCGGGGATACGGCGGGAGCTGGCCACTGGGCACAATGGACATGTGACGAACGGGACGGTGGGTACAGTCGTGAAAGGGCGGAGAAGGTCACGAGCATCGTCTGAAGTGGGGAAGCACGTGAGACAGGCAGTGTAGACTAGCGTGCCGTCTTATCGTTCGGCATGATTGTTGACGTCAGTTGTTATTTCGTACGTAGATCAGTATCTAAAAACTTTTGAGTGCATCCTGCCGAGCCAGACTGGTCATCGCCTGGTAGGCTTTGATTCGGCGTTCGGCGCGCGTCTGCCCCCGCGTCCGTCCGCGGGCGGCCTCTGTAGCCGCCGGCAGACGCGGACCGTGGCGGCCGACCCCCACGGGCAGCGTGCGTGTTGGCGTGTGCGCCGCTGCCCCCGCCGCAGCGCGCTGACGCCGTGCCGTTGCAGCCGCGCGTGGTCGAGCTGCTGTACGAGCACGGAGCCGACCTCACCGCCAAGACCAAGAACGGCGAGACGGCTTTCGGTTAGTTGGGCTGGGCTCGCCGCGGCCGCCGTCTCGCTCGGCGGGCTGGGGCCGGGCGTCGTGTGTTGATGTGTATGTGGCTATTGATTGGCGTGCCTCAAGATTGTCTGCCGTGGCCGTCATCGGCGCCGCAGTTGCGAGCGCGTTGCATTGCGTCAGGACTGCTGTGTATGTGTCTCTGCGCGAGGAGGTTGAGGGCTGTTTGGAAGGCGGTATCCGTCTTGTTGGTTTTTAAACGTAACTTATCTTAGCGAGTGTCGGCTTGTCCGAACAATGCCGATCCTCTTGACGTAGCACAACGTGTGGGCCATGTGACATACTGGTGCAATTCTCCATCCTTTTGGGATTGTTGTCCAACGTGAATGTAACGTGCATTGCTTTTGGTAGCGGGACTTCAGCAGGACCTTCACAAAACCGGGGCAAAGACCCCTTTCATCAGCGCGTGCTGGCAAAAAGTACGCGGGCTTCTAGCCCAATAGCTTCGAAGGGTTTCGTCGCTTGGTTGGTCGGCCCGAGTTGGCTTGTTTTGCAACGGTGAGCTGGCAACGGCTGTACGCTTACCTGCAAGTTATGGATTGATCCACACACTATTCTTGCATCTGTGGACCTGCCGTCCGAAGAGAATTGGCTAAGCACTGTACGAACATCTACGGAAAGTCGCCGCGCTCACTGGCGGTGAAATGCCCGTCGGAAGCGGGAGGGGTGGGGCACTGCTGCGGGAAAACGATACGGTACCTATTAGAGATCGATCGAATCCTTTTGACGACCTCATCGGGGCATCGTGCTTCGCCTCCCCCAACGCCCCGCCGTCCATTGTCTGCAGCACGACGTGCGTCTCCCTGCCGCGGAGATTTGTGCGCGCCCTTGACACAGGAAGCCGCCCCGTCGCTCCGCGCGACTGCGCCACTGAGCCGGCTGACGTCATTGCCGGCGCTACGCTGCCATGCGTGGTGTGTGACGTTCATGGCCGTGGCTGGCGCACGTCCGTCGGCTGTCGCTCCATCACGTGTCCCGTCACGCTGCGATGAGCGGCACTCCCTGCAGCCGCCCGTCGCGGCTGTTGTGAGCTGGGGAATCTTGTTCTGGCAGTAATCGATCTTCAGTATACGGGGGATGCCGGCTAGTCGACGGTATCAAGAAAGCATAGGGGAATTTTCGTTCGCTTAAGTTTTGTCAATGTAGCTAATGCTTTCTTTATACGTCGCTTAGCCAGCGTCTCTTGGAATATGACAGATCGATCGTTGTCAGAATATGATCTTTCAACTCACAATGCCGAAAAACTGGGGGCTCAAGACCTTTCTACCTAATTAGAGACGATGACAAATTGTCTTCCCAGAGCCCAGATCCAAGATCCGTGGCCGTGTGTGAACCCGCGTTCCGCCATCAGACGTGTGCGCTTATCCCAGATCCGTGGCCGTGTCTGACCCGGCGCCCCGCCATCAGACGTATGCGAGGACCCCGAGATTCGGGAGCGGCTGGAGCAGCTGAGGACCGAGCAGGAGCTGCGTCGCTCCACGGACGCGCAGCTGGCGCGCGTGCGCCGCACCCCAGTCGACCAAGCACTCGATCCGGCGCACCCTCCATGCGCCAGAAGACGCTGACGCCGAAGAAGGACGTCAAGGAGGAGGGCCCGCATCCGCTGGGCGTGGAGGGCTCCCTGGTAAGGCGGGCCGCGCTGGCGCCGGGGGATGTGTTTGCATGTGTCCGTTTGTGGGATGCGTGATGTGCCGTTGCAATCTTAGGGCCGCGGCCTCTCGCGATGGTTTTGGTAGGCTGGGGACGGTGGGGTCTGGGGAGGCTCTCACTACTGGGCGAGATCCGAGCTCGGGTTCGGCTTCGGACTCAGACGCCCCGCATCTACATGCGCCTCACTGCGGGCACTCGCCGCGCCGTCTCAGCGTCCATCTGCATTTCCGTCAGTATCTCGATGCCCCGCTCAAGCCGTCGTCGGCGAGTTACTGCGGGCTTGTCTTTTGTTAGCCGGGTTATGGCAGGCTCGCCTGTTGTCGCGGTGTGATTCGTTCGATTTACGGGCCCCAATGGCTCCGGCCGGGCGGGCCCGCCGGGAGGTGATTTGGAGCGGGCGGCCGCCCTGCTGACTCCGCCGCCCGCGCTCTGCAGCAGTCGGCGCTGGGCGACTCGAAACCGCTCCCTGGATTCGGGTCTGCTGGACCTACAGGACATCACCATCCAGATCCGGACCGACTGGGCGGCAACAAGTGAGCTCATCTCGCCTGTCACCGACGAGCCGAGCTACTGTTTTGTTTTTTTATTTGTCAAGGTGGAACTTTGCACGATGGTAAAGGCGATCGTGGTTTTGCAGACGAAAACGAAAATTAAAACGTGTCAGGTAGGGGGGCTGCTATCACCTTTTCTTCATTCGGCTGAAATATGTGTGACAAAAGCGTACATGGCGCCTCAGAATAGGAGCCCCGAATATAGATTGTTGCCCAACGGGTGGTATCTATATATAGTATGAAATTGCTGGGACCACTGCCAAATGGCCCATCCTCAGTCGTCACCGACAGCTCCTCACTCTGAACGTTCTCATAAAGGCGGCTCTCGCGTGCTCTGCTCACGCAGACTGCTCCCACGCCGCCGGCCGTCACGCTGCGGCCGCTCGGACCTCGCGCTCAGACTCCTGTCTGCTGACGCCCTTCAGACTGCCCCCCCCCCCCCCCTGCGCTCTGAGCTGCCCCCTCCCCCTGAGCCGTGCCGACCCCGGGCCGGGCGCGCTGGCGGAGATAACCGGCGCCGGCCGCCGCCGCGTCCGCCCATTGGAGCCCGGGCCGCTGTCCGCGGTCGGCCGACCAGAATGTTCCAATTATGCAGTCGGCACGGAAGCTGAATGGCTGACGCCGGCGGCGGCGGCGGCCGGGGTCGGCCCCGATCCGCGCTCGGTGTCTGGGCTGATGAACGGGCCGGGAGACGGAGAGAGAGGGAGGGGGGAGGGCGGGGTCTCGCCCGCTGAATAGAAGACGGTCTCGAGTGGAGAGACGGGCCCGCGGCGACGCAGCGCGCACCAACGGCGCGGCCGAACTGACGGTCTTTGCTCGGGGCCCGAGCTCTGTGTGAGAGGAGGGGGAGGGGGTCAGAGGTGCATTGTTGGTCGCGTCCGCGGCGGGTGCCTTCCCTTCGCCCGGCGGTGTCCGGGGTGCGGTCTCCCGGCCGCCTCCGGGGTCGCCGGGCGACGGGCGGTGAGAGGCGGGCAGCTGGGTCGGTGCGGACGTGGTGTGACGCTCGGCCGTGCCGCCAGGACGGCGGAGAACGGCGGCGTCACCGTGTCGGACGGCAAGACCAACGGCCACCAGGTCAACAACAACGACCAGCCGCCCAGCGACGGCAAGAAGCGCTGTGAGTGTGCCGACCGGTCTGTTGCCGCCCGCGAGGATGTGGTGACGGCAATGTGTGGAGGGGCAGGGGCGCTGCGACCAGCGGTCATTTGACGCACCACACCCGCCTGGGGACGCTGGACCGTTCTTTTGGGGAAGGGGGTCCGTTTGTTCGGACTCGCGCGGTTTGGTGCGGTTGGACGTCCCAGGTCAGCCTCGGTAATCGTCCGAGGTCCATCGCATTGATCATGGGTACTGGGCATCCCATCGCTATAACCCTTGAGACGTTTGGGGCGCTAATGGCCTCGGCCCCGTGCGTTTCACTGGCCTGAATTGACATGTGCCAGTGTGTGGTGCACTGTTTGGTGGCTGCGGCTGCGGCTGCGGCTGCGCCTGCGGCTGCGGCTGCGGCTGCGGCTGCGGCTGCGGCTGCGGTTGCGGCTGCGGCTGCGGCGGCGGCTGCGGCGGCGGCGGCGGCGGCGGCGGTGGGAAGCTGAACAGGATCTTGAGCGGGCACGCATCCTGATGACAGGGTCGCCTGGTGGGAGCTTTGGTCCCGGGCAGAGCGCATGTGGCATAGATCAACGCATGCCACCCGGCCAATGCCTTGCATGTCTGTGATGGCTGGGCGCTGTACCCACGGTGCTGTCACCCCTCGGTTTATCATGAATCGAGCTGCATTATCGTGGCTGTCGATGCACCTAACGGCTCAAACAATGAAACATAATGACTCAGCGGTAATGAGACGAGCAGCGCCTGCGCATTTGCCTTGCTTGTGGCTGCGCGAATTGTGGGCTCCGCGGCCACATATGTCTAAGACGTGTATTGCCTCAGCTCAGTGGCCATGGGTCTATGTGTTACCATATTTTCGTTGGTACGCATGCGTAACTGTGTAGTTGACGATTGAGGAACGTTGGCTTTGTTTGTACGGACGCATATCGACGCTTACAGTTGTTTTCCGCCTTCTTTGTTTGTCTGCCGTGCTGGCGGCCGCTGGTGAGCGGGCCGGCCGAGCGTCGCTGCCTGGCTGGTGTCGTCGTGAGCTCGGCCCCTCTCGTTCCATGTGCCGTGTAGCGCTAGACAGCGGCTCGTCGCTCGACTCCAGTAAGATCGACATCCACGTGCACGTGACGGTGAACACGGGCGGCCCCGAGCGGCCGCCGCCGTACTCTGCCGAGCCGCCGCCGCCGCCGCCCGGCGGCACGCTTGCCGACCTGAAGAAGCAGCGCGCCGAGACGCGGCCGGCACTGACCGCGGGCCGGCGCGCCGGCGCCGCTTCCGCCAGGCGACCCGGTCGCGCCGCGCGCCGACGTCGGCGAGGCGGCGCCCGACGGCGGCCGGCTTCGCTTCGTCAGCGCCGAGCCCGGCGGCGGCGTGACGTCCGAGCCGCCGCAGGAGAGCGGCGGCTGCTGCCGGCTGCAGTAGCGACACCCCGGCGGGCCGGCCGACGAAGCGCGAGTGCGGCGCGCGGACGCTGCGCGGCGACGCGACGCCGCTGTTGGAGGGGGTGGTTTTGTATCGCGTGTTTATGGGGGCGAGCCCGATGCAGTTTTGTAGGGATATGGCTGCCCGATGATGACGTATCGTGGCAGAAACGTAACTGTTATCGCCTTGAATGCAGTGCATTCATGCGTGGTCGGCTGCTGGTATGTTTTGGAAACATTTAGCGACGTCTCCGTTTCCTCCGTGCCCGATTATGAAGACACGACATGGTCAAGATGAGGTGCTACGTTGCGTAGATTTTGCTTGCCAGATGTTTAGGCTATACTGGAGCCAATTGAGTGATACCAGCCAAAACGCTTTAGAGCTTAAGAGTCGTTCTCTCGCGGTGTTTCGCGGTTACGATAATGACGCGTGATCTTGTATTGTTTTAATTGTGACCACGTGACATGCCATTCCAGCCCGCATTCTGCCCCCTGTTGGGTGAGCTGAACCCATGCATTTCATGTATGTGAGCCGCGTAGGCAGGTATTTATGATCTCGGTCTGGAAGGCTTTATATTGGCGCTTGTAGATGATGCGGTCGGCTTGCTTCGCCACTGGGGTTTTGCGGGTTCCGCTGCGTCCGTGGCGCACCTTCCTATAGTTTGGCGCTTTTGGGCGCGGCGTCTGGCGTGTATGGCTTGGCGCCGCCACCAGTAGAGGGTGGAAGCGGGCGGTCATGACAAGGGCTGCTGGCGGCACTGTGGGTCTAGCAGTGGTGATTTAATGGGACCTCTCGCGGTGATCACATATTCCTCTGGTTGTTCAATACTGCTGTGTGTGGAGGCGGCGTTGAGCCTCAGTATCAGGGGTATTTCAGCATCCTGCCATCAAGGCACTCGTGTTTGTGAAACCGATTTGTCGCAGGATGTGAATTTGCTCCAAGCTCTCGCTCCGTTGTTTGCTTATCAATCGAGGGAGGGACAGGGAAGGGGGCACTCATGCGGTGCGGTGCGCACATGTGCGCGGGTGAGGTAATGAGATCGCACCATTACCGGGATTTGCCGCGTCACTGGAGCTCATTAGGGTCATTCCCCGTCTGAGAGTCGTTTTACCCCGTTCAAAGCGCCGTCAAAACAGGGAGAAGTAACCGCTCGGCTCTTGTTCAGTCTCCGTGCGTTAAGTCGTCGCCCTGCCAGCGTGATGACGTCATCTCGGGATGACACCCAGAGGTGGCCGCAGCGATCGCGCCGGCCGCGGCCGGGTGCTGGACCAGACCCGCGGCGGTCCCGGTGAGGACCGGTCCGGCGCTGGACGTCGATGCTGCTCCGGGGACAGAACGCTGCCACCAGTCACTACGCGCGTGATGACGACGGCGTGGGGGGAGCGCGCGCCGTTGGCTTGAGGCTCGGCGCGGATTTGCGGCCATGCGCTCGCTGTGTCCCGCGCGTGAGAACCGTGCGCTCGATGCGATAAAGGCGTCTGCTGCAGTTCTGTGATTCGTCGATGACGGTCGTCACTCGTGCGCACTTCTTAACGCGCACTTGCCTGTCTTGTGCGTCGGGTCTGCCGTGACATGCGGGCTGCACAGCTTGTTGGTTTTGTTTGAGTCACCGGCTAAGCGCAATGTGTTACTGCCAGCCTTTCACGACAAGTGGTGTCAACGTCTTCTATTCGCCCACATGTGCGCGCTCGTGGTGGGCAACTATATCTTTGACTATCGTTACTCTCTCTGCGGGTCATTTTCCTTCTGTCACATTCTCTGCGGTGCCTCCCCGCTCTGCCGCGCAATGAGGGCAGATAACCATGCCGTGCAAATGAGCATCATATTTCATACAGGGCAAGTAATCTTCCGATCCATGACGGTCCTTGATCCGGCTTGAGGTTTGCGTTTCGTGACGCGTATTTTGTACAATAAAGATGAGGTGACCGACTTGGTGTGTGGACTTTGTTGTGCCTTCTGTCAAGGGGACCAGAAGGTCTCTGGATGAACACGCCACTTGGAACTTGTGGTAGTCTTGTTGATAAAACATCACTTCAGATGTTGGTCGGGGGGAGGGGGAGGGGACAGCATTCAGTGATATATCCAGCAGTGTGTGCAGGATGTAAAAATATATATTCATCCTACCAGTATCCTGGTTTCCCGGCGGCCTCGCGCGATTCGTTGTCGCTGGTCCGTTGCCCTCTGACCCCGAACCCTGACATCTGATCTGCTCGGCTCATGTGTCAATCCTGAGACACTTAGATGCTCAGTTGACCGCCGCCCGGCTCGTTGATGGCGCCGATTCGGAGCGGTGGAAGGTCAACGGGCAGTGGACCTCGAGCCAGGGTGTGGCGGCATGAAAAATCGACTCCTAGCACCCCCGTGACCGCATAATGAAGCGCCGGAGGGGGAGGCCTGCTGCTGTAAGCCCACCCCGACAACAATCGCTACACCTCTGGGTCCGAAGGTCGTACACAGTGGTGGTGGCACCAGGCTTCGAATCTTCCAGGGTGATTATTCCGCTTACAGTCACGAGAAAAGTGGCAGCGGAAAGTAATCTGGAGAAACGTTCTGAGCAAACTATACGTGCCGATTGGCCGAGAAACGTGCCGATTGGCTGAAAGGGAAAGAGAGCAGCTCTGTCTCTTGTGCTGTCTTGAGCACTATCTAGGATCCGCCAGAGGCGCCTAGCCGGCTCAGCTCACTCTCGGGGCTTCGGGTCTGCGATGCCAGCGCCAACTTTCATCCCGATGCATTCTAACAAGGCTGTATCACCGGGTCTTTGGCGTGCTCCTCCGTTCGAATCGGGGGCTCCGCCGTCGTTTAAGCGTCAGCGGAGAGAAGTAAGGCAAAATAATCGCCGTGCAGCTCCGCCTGTCTTGCCGTGGAGTGCCGTGCATTCACCGAACGACGTTAAATTACGGAAAGTTAGAGGCGTGCCCCCCCCCCCTCCCCCCCCCCCCCGCCTCCAAACTTGGCGCTGGCCCCGGTCGTGACGAATCCTACGTGTCACTGCCTTCCGTGCGTTGTTGATGACACTGACTGACTAAATTAGCCTTCCGCGTCTTCTGGTTCAATCAATCAACCGCTCCTGGTTTTTCCGTGACCTTTGCTCGCCCCTCCCCCTCCCTTCCCGGTCAGTCTCGCACCAGTGGGGCGTCATCCCCCCGGGGCGCGATCCGCAGCTGCCGTGCTTGGCAGGGATGTTCGACCTCGCCCTTCTCCGGGCCAACCGGACCCAGACCGCCAGCACCCGGTCCCCCGTGTGACCTCACCCCCGGACGCTGCGTTGCGGCCGGCCGGGGTAAAGCGGGCGAATGGTCCCGGCCTCGGCCGAGCGTGGACCGGCGCGGGTCTGAGAGGCCGGTCGCGGCGCGTGGGCACGTCTCCATAACCGGGTGAACCCGTCGCGGCCGCGTCCCGCCGGCCCCTCGGAGATCCATGATAACAGGTTTGTCGCGGCCGGCAGAAATGTGGGAGCCTGACGTCTGGCTGCTGTCATGAGTGTGTGGGACGACAATGTACAGCTGGCACAAAGCAATGACAATGACAACGACAATGCACAATGCACAAAGCAGACGACAATGCACAGCTGCATAAATGCTTATTTACGTGCATGATCTTCGCGGCGCAAAGCAGTCCTCGGCGTCTGTCTTCGTGTTCGTAGTGTACTCCAACCCAGCGCATATGTGAGCGAAAGTCTGCGCCATCGCGTCGTTGCATTTGTCTTGAGAATCATCGCAATGCCTGCCCCACCGCTTAGAAGGTGTGTGCTTTATGCTTACTACTATGCAGCAGCGGGTCATTGATGGCCAGTATTTTTAGCACAATTGTGCTGTCTTGTGAGCCATGCGCTGAGGTCGTGGGGATGACTGATTCCAAAGATACGGCTGAAACAGTCGAAATGTACGCGAGCATCACACAGCCTTGCATTTTCCAAGTCTGATCGTCACATCCAAGGTGATCAAAGACCTAGTGCGCTGATCCGCCCGGCAACAGTGGTGTTTTATCTGTTTTTGTTGCATCAAGACGCGTGCGTGTTTGCGCCAATGTTGACGGCCACTGGAGGGGGGAGGGGTCTGACCTTGAGTGTAACCAGTGCGCGTCTTGAATGAACGGACGTTGAACGGTAGCAGGCAGGCACGTGGCCCGCAGGATCAGCCCGGACCGGGCATCCTCCGGTGAGATGCAAACGGGCGTGTTGCCAGCCGGGGACGACGGCCAGCAGGCAGGGGCGTAACCACACGGACTGGGCTGCCGGGGTTTAAGTCCACGGACACCATCCCATCAAAAGCCAGCGTTACTGCGGCCTGGAGCCCGAACTCAATGGATTCCAGAGGTGGTTTCTACTTCTGATTGCGTTCCTGTCATCAACCCACTTCACTCGCAAACAGTTGGGCTTCGACTACCGCGGCATGTTAGTGCCATGGCGTGTGTATCACTGCCACTAACAAGCCATGCCCTTTAAACGTTTACAAGGTGCAGTTGCAACTCAGCGAAATGAAAATCGAATTGAAATGAGCTATTTGAACTGCACGATGGTGACGCTATGTGCTTCAAGTACCTATTGCCCCCCCCCCCCGTTCGGTCACACGGTCGTCGTCGGTCAGGGTTGCTGGGTTCCTGCCGCCGTCGGTGGGCGCGGCGGAGGCGATCTGGCACCTCCACGGCGCTGCAGCGCCTCCCTCGCCCGGCGGCGGTGCCTGTCTGACCACCGCGTGGCCGGCCCGGCCGCCGCGTCGGAGGGGGCGCGCGGTGCGGTCACTGGACACATGTGTGGCGCTCCGGAGAGGTCGCAGGCGCGCGTCTGACCTGACCTGTCGCCATGAGGGGCGCCGTGCTGCTGCAGGATGGCAGCCGTTTCGAGGGCGAGCTGTTCGGCGCGCTGCGGCCCACTTCCGGCGAAATAGGTGAGGCGCGCTCGCCATCAGCGCGGTGTGTGACTGCTGCGGTGTCGGGTTTCCAGAGCCAATGTAGGAGAGATTCCTTTGTCGAGGCCTCCGAGTAACGGACATTACAAGCTCCGTGACGGGACGGTCGTGTGCGCCGAAATCTGTATTTTATGTTATGAGCGATGCACCGAAGAGACAGATAATCGCGCGCGCCGCGTCGCGCATCATCGTCACATCACATCGCGCGCGCGCGCGTGCAGGGCGCCAACGTTCGCGGTGGTCGTACGCGCCCAGACGACATTGATCTGATGCGTCGCGCAGATACTGCGCTTGCTGCATGCTGCGGTTTGAGCGCTGCGCGTGATGCAATGACTAGAGATGCAGGTCAGCAAAGAACCCGGCACCGGTGTCGTCTCGTGCCAGCTTTGAAGCACCGATGCATTCCTGGCAAGGTCTTGCACGGTACTGACTTTGGTGTCTGTGTTAATAAAGTTGCAAATGGGTAACGCACATATAATGTGTAGATCTATATATATATATATATATATATATATATATATATATATATATATATAAACACATTTGTGCTCAAACACATTTGTGCGTGCTTGCGTGCGTGCGTGCGTGCGTGCGTATATAGCGTATATATCATATCGAATTGTAACGCATGCAGTTATGGTATCGTATTGAAGCTTTGCATATATAGCTTCATAGACACCTGTGATGGAAGACCCAGGGCATGTCACTGACCGCGAAGACAGCTGAGGGCGGCTGTTGTAGTCAGACACATGCTGGCTGCTGGCCGAGACACCGTAGGTTCTTCAGCCGCTGCAGCCGCCTGACGCACGTGCGACCGTGGCTCGGGCATGGTACAGAAGCGAGCAGTTGGCGCATGGCGCGACGGCTTAGAGGCACATAGTTTGCACTTTTTTAAACACATGGTGTTGGTGTAGGTAAAAGCTTGTCACCGAGCAACAAGTTCGCACTGTTTTATACACATGGTGTCGGTGTAAGTAAAAGCACGTCACCGAGCAACAAACCGTTGTGCGCGTTTGAGCATGTCTTCTTGCCTACGTAAGTTGTAACGAACATTTGGGAGGAGCGTTGTGAGGATGGATAAGATAGTATGAATAGTCTTATTCCTCGCAGGACAACCTGGAGAATGGACATGTATCTTTCCATGCTCCTGGTTATTCTACGGTGCAGCAGGCTATTGGTACTGTCTTGCTATGCCGTGCCTCAGTTAACGGCAAGAGAACGCTTACAAGCTGAAAAATATTCAAAGCTGTGTTGCTCATTTTCGTTTTCTATTATTTACAACCACGCCAAGGTTCAAATACTTCGTATGGGGCACAACACAGCCTCCTAATCTGAATCACCTTTCTGTCGGCATCTTTCTTGTCGTTAAATGCGTGGAGACATTAACGATTGCCGCATGATATTCCGAACTGGGCGTGTAAACAGGTATAGGACCGTTCTAGACCACGCGATTTTGGTACGGTCAAGATTGAGAGTTCCTGAGTGAACAAAGCGGCTGAGCAGCCCGAGAGATAAGTCGTCCTCCAGCACTGAGACAGTCTTGAAACGGAGCCACTCCGGTAAACAACGACCAGCCAGCCCGGCGACCAGCCCGGCTCGGGTGATCTCGTCTCTCTTGCAGCCAGAGAATGTTAAGTCGATCGCCAAGGGCGGCCAGGTCTCGCTAATCTAGAATATATCAGGTTTGTGGAAGTGCGTGGGCTTCCATCATGCAAATGACGTCACCCTCATGATGGGCGACATCAAAGACCCTGTACGCGGGTGGCATCAGGGACTTGGCGTTGATTTGTTCGTACGTAAGCCGGCGGAAGCGAAGGACCATGCATAACCCAATTGTGCGTTCCGCGGATTAATATACCATTCTGGCTTCTCCACCCTCACTATGTAAACGCTGTTGAGTTCACAAAAAGAAAATGGAATGAACAACGCCTATGATATGACACGTATTGAGAATACCATGGAAGCATGCCAAAAATCGATAATAAATATAAATATAGAAATAATTTCAGGGACCGATAGCTTGACATGTACAGTAACCTCTATATCCAAAACATCTAGTTTAAACAATGATTCATGGCCTTTTAACGCATCTGGCACATATGGCTGCGCCACCACCACCGGTGCTCAGCAACAGTAAGACCGGGAGCTCGGTGCTTAGCAACAGTAAGACTAGTAGTGCACGCAGAGGGCACAGGGAGCACGTGCCCCCCCCCCCCTCCCCTCCCTCTTAGGTTCCGAGGGGACTTTCGGACCCCTCGGAACCTGCGATTAAGAGCCCAGAAGCAAGCCAGAGGTCTCATTCAGGGACCCCGGCCCGTAGGGACGGGCACTCAGATGCCAGTCAAAGGGCCCTGCGCGCGGATCAGGGGTCCACTGAGTCGAGAGCCTATATAAGAGCCTATTCTTCGGTCGGATGCCATCTCTAACGCACAGTCGGCTCCGCGGCGGCTTGGGCCAAAACTGCCCATTTCTCAAGCAGGGACGAAGCCGGAGCCAGCGATTTACATTCCTCGAGGTCCCACGGCCCCTAACGGGGGCCCTGTATTGTCAAAGGGCTCTGAGTCGGCGAAAAGCAGTGTTTGAGGAGGCCCGAAGAGCCTAGAGGGCCCACCCGGTCCGACGATCAAGGGCCCGATTGAAGCGTCTAAGAGCATAAACGGCTGGACGGAGTCTTATTCAGGGATCCAGACCTGCGAAAACAGGCACTCAAATAACGATCAGAGAGCCCATTGTTCCGATCGGGGACCCCCTGAGTCGATATGGGCCGCGTCAGAGAGCGGGCTATCGTGATATGATGTATCCCTCTATGAGCCTCCGGATCGGCCAGGGCATCCGCCCCGTGTCGCCAGAATGACGGCCAGAAACACTCCGCGGTAGGACAGAATGGCCCTTCAGCCGTGTACCGGGAACAATAATGTGCCCGGTAGTGTTATACTCAAGAGGGTCCCTTCACCGGAATGAAATACGGGTTCTCGTTAGTGCTGAATGGAGTGGGTCGAAATGAGTTCAAAACACCCAAGGTCATCCCGTGTTTCTCTGAAAACGTTCAGTATTTTGCAGAATTTACGAGCGAAACAAATACCATCAAAATACCTTAGCCTGCGCGTCGGGTGCCGATAGTGTATACAATGGTTTATGTGCCTGTAGCAACCACTGCGCGCCTGGGAAACCATAGGTGTGGGGTTCGATTCCTCACGGTGCCCGCCTTTCCCGCCAAGGTGAGAAACTGGCGGCGCCATATAGCCCAAGCAACTGAGGGCTTCATAAAGCCCTAATGACGCGGCCGTAGTCTCGGGGAGCTAGGATAGCGATGGCTTGGTGACAGTTTTCGTAAAACCAAACGGTGTTAGCCACTGCAGGTAACGCCAGGGGGCGGGCGCTGAGCGTGCGACAATGACCATAGTAAGATCAAGTTTCTGAATGTCTTTAAAAATGAGTTTGTGCAGTTTAATGATTACACTGGGCGATTTTTTTTAACTCTGAGGCTGTTCTCTGGACAGATCGACAGTTGCAGCACCATGACAAATATAAATTTTACCTTTGCTCCTTCAGGTTCACAACCAGATTCTAGCAACTACTTCGCGGTGCTGTAAATACCAATACGTTACTGTCAGCATTTTAAAACCGCACAGGTGACACATACGCCCGAAATATCTCTAAATGTACGATTTGGTGTCCAATAGCGCTCAAAGATGCGTCTTTCAGATGCGTCACTATTTTCGTCCACTTGTTGGCTGCGGTCTAGTGTGGGCCACGGAGCCGGCGCTGCGCGGCCTGAGGAAACTGCAGCGCCTGGCGTCGGTTTTTTTTTAAGCTATCCAACCGCGCATGCTCAAAAGTACGTTGCATAATATGTGCCACTAATCAAATCTGACTGAATTTTAAAGGTTCCCAGATAAATATGGCCTGGCCATGTTGATACATATCGTTGGCCCATTTTGATCTTTAATCTACATTTGCGGAATCCTTATTTTTTCGGTACAACGCAGATAAAAATTTTAACAAAGTTTCTGAGTTCTGTGGGTTTAAAAAGAGTCCTCTGGACCGTGGTAACATGAATGATGCCGGCGTTTTATTGCATGCAGTCATGTAACGCATGATTTTATCAGTTTATTCCCTTTAAACTTAAGGCAGAATTAATCCTGTGGTGGCGTCTGGCCTGTATTCCAGTTAGAGAGGGTAAAAGTGTGTAATTTGATATATATGTAACATATTGTCAATGCAAAACTGGTCATACTCGGCAATTCTGGGGAGGGCCTTTTACTATCAGGGTAACAGAGGGCCCTTTGTCAGTCTGTGCCCCCCCCCCCCCCCCTCCATACTAAGGCTCTGGCTGCGCCCCTGAGTAAGACGCCTGGCCGTGTTCCGCCGGGCAGGCGTCGTGTGGCAGAACCTGATCCTCGGTCCCAGGCGGCCTCCGTGAACTGAGCCCTGGTCCGGGGAGGGGGCTGCAGCCAGCCGCCGCCGGCCGTGCAGCGTTCCTGGGAGCTGTAGCCTGAGGGCCCAGCGATGGTTATGTCTGGAGGCCGTGCTGCCCTCCTGCTACCGTCTCTGGAGCGCGAGGGTCTGGGTTACCTGTGCACGCAGCCTCCGGCGGGACAGGTGCCAAGCCGTGTAAGGGTTTGAACTCGTGACCGTGAAGATGGTGTGGTGCAGGCTGATGCCGTGCCAATGGACGCCTTCGTCTTCCAGAATAATTTTCCCATTGTATCAAGCTCTTCTAATGAAAACACCACGGGCTGCTTTCGACTTTTGTTACTGTGGTGGAAGTCCTCTGCCATCATTTACGTGCTATGTTCGTGAACTCGGGCAGTATTCCCATGCTATCTGCACTTCCATTCACAGTGAAAACGTGATCCGCTTGTTCGAGGAACGCCTATATCGCTAGCATAGCCAGCGGACGACACGGTTCTGCCGGATTGGTAGATGATAAGCGCGACTCACTACAGTGACGGCCGAATAACCCCATTATTTGTATGATTATAATAAGCCCATCATTGTGATAATAGAAATAAGAAAAAAGGGACGCATGCGTCCAAGAAAGGACGCGGCTATTTGAGGACATGGGGAATTGCGTGGATATTTCGAGACTTGCCCCGCCGGTGCATCGCGGATGTGTGAATGGTCCGTCCGTTTAAATGGTCCGTTTGTTAAGAAATGAAGCGTCAAGCGTCTGGGCATGGGCTCCGGCCAGATGGGCGACAGGTAAGTCCACCAACTTGCGAAATGCATCACCACGCACGTGGGCACCATGCGTGGAAAGAAACTTCCTAAACCCCTCCGATGTCGCTTTGGCGAAGCCCGTGCGCAGGCGTGGACACCTTTCGTTTCGGCGATGCGTGGGGTGGACGTTCTCACGGAGTGTGAGCCACTCCATTGTGTGGTGGCCATTCGCGGTGAGATGTGAGCGCGCGTATCTGACGAGCGTGCCTCTCACCCCCGCGTGGCGGCTGTGATGGATCACGCCTCGGCTAACGCTGCCGCCATCTGCCGGCGGGCAGTGTTTCAGACGGGCATGGTCGGCTACCCGGAGTCGCTGACGGATCCCTCATACCGGGCTCAGATTCTGCTGCTCACCTACCCTCTCATCGGCAACTATGGCGTGCCTGGCGACGACAAGGATGAGCATGGCGTACCCAGGTGGGGAGCCCACACGCCGGGCGTCGCTTCCCAGCGAACTGACGACACTTTTCCGCCCCTTTCAACTGAAATGACGTTTTGCCTTGGGTGATGATTGATCTTGCCCCGCGCCTGTGCTATGACATTCAAATTGTCATGAACGTAATTGCATTTTGTTGATATCTGATGTCATTCCAAGTCCGTGGTCGTGTACCTATGGTGTTTGTTACATGCGTTACCCTGGGCCGCCGGTGCTGGCGCCCCGGCCCGCTCTGCCTGCACGTCTGACGACCGCGCCCGGCAGGTACTTCGAGTCGGACCGCATCTGGCCGGCCGGCCTGGTGGTGGGCGAACTCTGCGAGGCGCCCAGCCACTGGAACAGCCGGCGCGCGCTCCACCAGTGGATGCTGGAGCAGGGCGTGCCTGGCATCACGGTACGCGGGGCCTGAGGCAGTGCGGCGGCGGCGGCTGCTGCTCCTCACGACACGCGGCTGGACCGAGCAGCAGGGTCGGACCTTCCGTGGGTCGGGGGTACGGGTGCCTCGGCGGACGGAAACGTCAGCTTGGGTCAGGACACCGGGGTCAGTGCGCCTGCGGTCGTCGACTCGTGTTCATAGCGTGCGTCATTGCCATGAGTGTGAGGAGGAGCTCCGAGTAGTGGAAGTGGGCGGACGACCAGACCTGTTTCAAAGAACGGACATTTTGCAGCTCCAGTTGCAGCTGCCATGCACGAGTGTTTGTCGTTACCCAGCTTGCAGACAACACAACAGCCATCCCCTCCCCATCGCAGGGCATTGACACGCGCGAGCTAACCAAGAAGCTGCGAAAGCAGGGCACGATGCTGGGCAAGATCGTGCCCGACGGCACGGCTCCGGACGCCGTGGCCCAGGATGACCCGAGCGAACCGTAACCTGGTGGCCGAGGTCTCCGTTCAGGTCAGCCGTGGCCGCAGGCAGCGCTGGCTGGCAGGCGGCGCTCTTTGTGGAGAGACAGAAGCATGCTCCCCAATGCTTTAAGAAGCCTATGGTTTCACGGACCGCTTTTGTTCTTGCCGTGTTACGTTAAAGACCATTCCGCCCGCGGTCTTACCAACAGATGTGGCCACGGTTTGTTCTGTTAGTGACTAATTTGGCGAGACGACTCTTAAGGACTTCACTACACGGTTTTATCGCGCCATCCCTCAAGCAGTAAGTGAAATATGTTCGTAAACCAGAGATATGCCTGTCATGATTTAAAATGAGTACAAGGTTCAGCATTATGTCGTGTCAGTTACGCCCCTCCTAATGAGCTGATGCGTGTAGCGCTGGTCACATCGAACGGCTCCTACGCTGCCACTAGCGCCCCCTACATCTGAACTCAGTCCACTCGTGCCCGCTACAGAGGGCTGCACCGCACTACACCAGGTCGCTGATGCTCCCTACATCGGGGCCCTGTTCACCAAGACCGTCCCACCACAGGAGGTGGTATCCTACAACCCCGGTGGCGCCCCCTACATCTGCGCCGTGGACTGCGGCCTCAAGTACAACCAGCTGCGCTGCCTGCTGAAGCGAGGCGCTCGAGTCGACCTGGTGCCCTGGAACCAGCGGCTGGACCCGGCCAAGTACGACGGGTTCTTCGTCAGCAACGGGCCGGGTAAGCCACTGGTGCGAGCGGCTCGCTTTCGAGACACCGGGAGGGGCGGGGCTGCTGCCGATCCATGAAGCTTCTAGGATATCCGGTAGCTCCTGACTCGCGCGGTGGGCTATTGGTAAGTGCGGGCGACTGCTGATAGGTCAGGTTGACTGCTGGTAGGTCCGGTACACTACTGGTAGGTTCGGCACACTGCTAGTGGGTCTGGTACTTTGCTGGTAGGTCCGGCGCACTGCTAGTGGGTCTGGTACATTGCTGGTAGGTTTGGTCCACTGGTGGTAGGTCGGATACACTGTTTGTAGATCTGGTACACTACTGGTAGGTTCGGCACGCTGCTAGTGGGTCTGGCACATTGCTGGTAGGTCTGGTTCACTGGTGGTAGGTCAGATATACTGCTGGTAGATCCGGTACACTGCTGGTAGGTCTGATACACTACTGGTAGGTCCAGCACACCGCTGGAAGGTCCAGTCAACTGCTGTCAGGCCATGTCGATGTGCTGATAGACGTGGCAAACTGCTGATGGATTTGACTAGCTGCTAGTGGAGCCGGTCAGGTGTCAATAGATCTGACCAGTTGCTGGTAGAGCTAATAAACTGCCGATGGATTTGAATAGCTGCTAGTGGAGAGCGTCAGCTGCCAGTAGATCTGACCAGTTGCTGATAGAGCTGATAAACTGCCGATGGATTTGACTAGCTTCTAGTGGAGCGTGTCAGCTGCCAATAGATCTGATCAGTTGCTGGTAGAGCTGATTAGGTTTCGATGGGCCTAGTAAGCTGCAGATGGATCCGGAAAGCTTTGGATATCTGGTGATTTGCTAATGATTCTGTGAGCTGCTGGTATATCCATGAGACCCTGATATATCCGGTAGGCTGGTGATGTATCCTGTAAGTTGCTGATATATCCGGTAAGCCTGCCGCTAGGTTTTGTAAAACACTGAGAGGTCTGGTAAGTCGTCTACGAGCACCTAAGGCTCCTTACAACTAGGAATACTCCTGCAATTTGGAAAGCTCCATGCGCTCTCACCGACTGTTCTTTGACCGTTACGCTGATCACAGTATCAACTGCTCGGTTACTTAAAAGTTGGAACGAAGTATTCGGATGCGGAAAGTTCAAATCTTGGCCGGAATGTTATAATTTTTGGATTGAAAAACGTCCAATTGGCGATGCTTCATGATGCTCTGGAGCAAATATCGATTTCCCGCCAAGTCTGTTCGGCGAAGTGATTGTTCTTAGGTCAAGTTTCCCTTACATTGGCACGTTTAACAAAGAAAAGTCTTTATTTTCGGCGCTGACGTCCTTCAATGACCCGATACAGTGACCGCCGAGACCTGTCTGCATGACCTTGGCCCGCTTGGTGCGTAGTGACCCCTGTCGTCACAGGCGACTCGGCCACGTGTGCCGAGCTGCGTGTCCCTGACCCTCGCCGAGTGGTGACCCCCATCGCTCAAGGCCACTCTGTCTAGTATGCCGAATCTACGTGATCTTGACCCTGCCGCGAGTGATGACACCTGTTGTCTCAGGGGACCCGGTCAAGTGTGCTGACACGGTGGCCAATCTGCGTGACCTGATGAGTGTCGAAACGAAGCCTAAACCCATCTTCGGCATCTGTCTCGGCCACCAGCTGCTGGCTACGGCAGCTGGGGCGCGCACCTTCAAAATGAGGTCAGTCGGGCAAGCAGCTTGTAAGGTCATCGAGGTTAGCACGGTGCCCACCCTGCCGCGGATGACGTCGCGCATATGCATGAATCATGTTCTCTGAAAAAGGGCTCCAGGAATGGACGACGCAAATATGTTTGCCTTGTGTTTTGCCCACCGTGTTTTGTGCCTTGTACAGAAACAATTTCCAATTCCATGAGTTTTCACTTCAAACAAGCGCTTTGCTCTGAACCGTGTTGATTGAATGCTCTTACGAAGAAGCTGCAGGAGGTCATCAGATAGTCGCTTCCACGTCTGCGAGTTTAGAGGGTTGCATCTGGTCCAGCATCGTCAGAAACACCGCTGCACCGGCCTGAGGCCGGTCAAATTTGCTTCTGCTGAAGCTGCTGGCTTTTGTGCGTTGTAAAGGCGCGCTTTACGGGATGAGCTGCGGACGGGCCTTTCTTACTAGAAAATTGGGCAGGCGGGGGGGGGGGGGGGATGCTTCTGTTCCAAATGCATCATCCCAAAGGAAATGACGCACCCATGGTACGAGGTCCAGCTAAATGAACGTCATGGTAATGTGATCAATAATGATTCCTCTCTGGTTATACGTGTAGCGAAATGACTGGTTTTTTTTTGGTGAATGATGCAAGACAGACTTTTGTGAGGGCTTTTTACCATGCGACAAATCTCCGCGATAAATGTGGACATTATAATGAGAACGAAGATGAATAACGGCATGCGAATTATTATATTTTAGACATTTTAAATAAAACAAAATTATCAACCAATAAATGATCACGCCATCGCCATCACGCCATCACGCCGCGCCACGCCAAATGATCGCCACAGACGGCAGCAGCGAGCCGGGGTCAGACAATGATTGGATGGATTTGGATGGATTAAGATGGATGGATGGATGGGATGGATGGATCACATGAGTGGTTTGGATGGGTGGATCGCATGGGTGGATTGCTAATGTTATATTCTTGTTTTCATCCCTAAACGCCCTCCGTACGGCCACCTCTCGGCAAGTTTAAGTACTACAAGTAAGTGATCCCGTCCGCTGCAATATTTACTAAACAGTGAAAGCTTGTTACCTAGATCAGTCTTTTACAGTTAAATGCCACCTAATGGCTAGAAACGTGCTGCTTTTACCATATCTAGTGCTTGTCCCAGTATGTACAAAAGTGGAACATTTCCTTCAGATGACCATCCTGGAGCTGCAACGTAAAGCTAATTCCGGGAGAACGCTGGCTCAGTTAGACTGAGACCCAATACCTTCAGGAACCTGCATTTACTTTCATTCGTAGTCACTGTGTAGCTATGAACTCTGGGCTTACAGAGCTCTGCTCGAGAGGAAATTGCATCCGCTTTAACTAAGAAAATGGCACGTCGGATGGGATGAACGGAATTTATGGGGTGAAGAGCTTGGCCTCCGTAGGGCTGACCGACCTTGACCTGTAATTATTGTCACCACTTACATATCGTTATTATTCGTCTGTCATTATTTTATAGCTTGGGTTAGGCTCCTATGGAGCGTGATTGGCGTACCTTGCTTGAGAACAAGTTGAGTGATGGCCGTCCCGATGGCTCTAGGCCGCTGAAATGTTCCAACTAGTAGTTCGCAGACTCCTCGTGGAGTGGAACAATGTCCGTCGACTTAATAATGCACTGAACAAATGAACAAGGTAAACCCTGTCCATCCTTGCTGCTTCCCCAGAATCGTGAAGTTCATATCATCAGCAACAAATGTTTTCGACGCTAGGATGACCTGTTCGCTGAGCCAAGTTGGGTCTTGGTACCATTCCTCCTGGTCTGGAAGAGCATGGCCAGGCTGCCGCAGAGACGCTCGATTGGGCTGTAATGGCGCTGGGCCTGGCCGTTGCCAGCATGTGAGAATTGATTAGCGAACTGTCCTGCTGCTTTGTGGCCGCTGAAGTACGCACACGTTGGTGGTGAGATGCCTACTGCTGCTCTGCTCGTCTCTTTCTGTTCGTCACGCGTTCATCATGTAACGTCGCGAATCATCACTCGCATAATATTTGTTTTGGAACCACCACCCACTTTGTGTTTGTAAGTCGTATTGGTCGTTACATTCTGGTTCTGACTCTATCCATCTCCTCGCAACCGACAGACCTGCAATCGATAGCACTTGGTGGCGATATTTTTCGTTGCTCTCAAAAGTTTCAAATGGTACGGAGCTGACCGCCTTTGTGCGCCAGGTTTGCTCGCGCGGCGCCATGCACAGTGGTCTGATCTGAGCTAAGGTGTGGCATAAATCTTCTTTTCGCCACGCTGATTCAGAGCATATGAGGTTTCGGGTTTACCACCGTCGGTTATTGGGTTATAAGCCTCAAGTGACAGAGTTTCCGATTTGTTGTATGAGATGTTGCATGACATGTGGAACGGCGAAACCATTTTGAGTACGAAACTTATAACACAGCTCTTGCAATAACTATCGTTTGTTCCTAGAGCGTGTGCAGCCGTGCAATAACTTTCGGAGTGCCCTATGCCTGCAACCGTTACATCTGGGAGCAGATAAAGAAAACAAATGTGCCTTGCCGCGGATTATTCCGGAGCTGACTGCAGATTACATTAAAATTTGCGCAAACTTTCACCTTTGCAACGATCCACGACATTAATTCACGTCCCCCCGATATCGACATCGGTCACAGCGCGCGCGAGAGGGACATGTTTTGGCATTACGAGGGAGACACTTTTTGGTATACGTGGGAGAAACAAGTTTGCGCTGAGGCCGAGCGGTCAAGTGCTATCGTGTACTTGTGTGCTTGTGGCACTTGTACAAGTGCACTTCATAAAGCTAATCGTGTCGCGGTTGTAGGCACCACCGGCGCCAACGGCGCCGGCTCTTCCGCGTAGTGCGGCAAGCGGAAATTCGAAGAGGGTGAAAAGCCCAAGCGGTCGAAAAACATGCGCTCCAAGCGCGAACAATGATCAATGCTGCGTCCTCAAGCGTCGGGACTGTCAACTGACGCAGGCAATGAAAGGTACAAAAACACATAAATACATATAACACATACCGTGCGGTGTTGAGTTGTGAATGAATGTTATGTGGCTGGAGGGGATCCAATAACGACGGCCAACCGCGCTGGCTGTTTGCGTGGCGAGGTATGAAGAAGCCACAGCTAAATGATATTCATGTGATGACCCAAGGGCGTGAAACACGCTGGCAGGCGATGTGTCCGCGTGTTCCATGAGTGGAAAGGTCATTAAATGTTAATGAAATTCACTTCGCAAAGTTGTCGCGACGCGGGGTGGCGAGAGTACCGGCACCAACGACGACGGCTCTTCGCGCAGTGCGGCAAGCAGGAATTCGAAGTATCGATGCTCAGGGGTTACTGGGTAACACATGCAGTTTGGAGATCCACAGGCAGTGCGTGTATGAAAATTGTGATCCATGATCCATGAGTGTTAAGCAGCTTACAAATGTTAACTCGGGGATGTAGCACGATGAGCCACGGGCTGATACTCTCTGAACCATGAAGTGTACACTAGATACAGGGCGATTTCGCAGTATTTAGTCACAAATTCGCAGGCAGTCGATAGACGTCATGCTGTTGAGATACGAGTAAACGTTACGGTTGTTGGCGGCGAGAGTATTTGATGCGAACAGCGTCGCTTCCTCAACGCAGCGAAGACAGCGGAGCCCCCTGGCCGCCGCTGTTCCTTCGCGCAGCGCGGCAAGCGGGTGCCGCTTTTCGGAAGAAAATGGCGTGACATATGGAGCACAAAAGCTTTCTCCGAATGCGCTCCGTCAGCAGCGCTGGTGCTCCCGGGACCGCCGGCCTGCCACGTGCCGCGCTGGTGCTCCCGGGACCGCCGGCCTGCCACGTGCCGCGCTGGTGCTCCCGGGACCGCCGGCCTGCCACGTGCCGCTCGCCTCCTCCCCCCTTCCCCCGAGCTTGCCCGGCTAACCACGCCCTCGGCCGGGAAAACGGAGGTCTCCGGCAGCCCGTGCCTCCTTCCGGAGGATTGCGGTATGAGACGTGTGGCCCTGTCTTTGAGATTGTGGGAATACACCAGCGTTGGAGGGGTTAAGCTGAAATATGGGGAACAGCCTGATTCGAAAATGTTATTGTTGTAAGCTAACGTGTGAACAACGTGCATTTTGAGAGCAAAAACACAAAAAAGTTGACGAAAATTCGAGTGGTCTTGTCTCTCCTGCCCCGCTACTGCCTTGCTCTATTTTGCCAC